CTTTATGGCTTCTGCATTATGAGCAATAATTTGACCTTTTCCATATTTAGGTGACAATTAAATCTCCCATATTTTTTCCTTTTATTCTTGTATTTTCAATTTTAAAATTTGTATTTTTGATCCATTTGATTTTGTTTGGTACTTGGTCTAAGATGTATATACAACTATTTTTCTATATACCCACATGTCTCAACACAATTCGTTGAGTGTTGTTTGCTGATTTGAGTATTTTTCTTTATCTTACACTCAATTCTCTTGTGTATTTATGTCTATTTCTTACTGGGGTTATTTTCCACTATTTTGTTTGCATGCTAGTGCACCAAGACCATAATGTTTTATTCACTAAGGTTTTTATATCATATCATCATACTAGTCTCCCTCTTTCTCTTATTTTTCAGGATTTTTCCAACTATTCATATTTATTTCTTCATATCAACATTTTATGTTATCCTTGTTAAAACAGCGAGATAGGAGTCAGGGACAAAATAGAATTCCCAAGGCCATGCCCCTAGTGACCTACTACTTCTCTAGCCTTGCCCCACCTGACTACAATTACCACCTAGTAATCCATTTAGATTATTAATACATCAATCCACTGATTAGGTAATCTAATAATTTTCCTCCAAGTATTCCTGGATTGCCTGACACATGAGCCCTTTCGGGGACACTTCATATTCAAACTATAGTACCACACTTAATAATTCATCAACTGGATTTTGCTTATATGTTTACTTGCACTATTAGTTAGGATTTTACTAAAATTGTAGATATAAACTAGTATAATAAGCTACCAGTCTTATTCCAAACAACATGACTGTGGCCTGAAACATACTGACCAGCTGTGTAATAGCATAGCCATCTTGCCTAGGATTCCTGTCCTTTAAACATCTGTTAAGATGTGGAAAATTGGGACCATGTTCAGCCTCCTGCTACTTTGTAGTGTTGTATATGTACTTAGTAGCCACTGTTCTTTCAGTGGACCTTAAAGCTTTCCCTCTGTTAGGTTGCTCCCTCAGAGAGGTACATTAACTCTTCTGAGCCAACAGAGGACCATTTCCTACTTCTCAGTTCTTATGAAAAGATGAGTCAGATATGTTGTAGAATAAAAATAATGTTTTTAGCCAGGTGCAGTGGTGCACACTTGTAATCTCAATGACTTGGAAGCCTAAGGCAGGAGGATTATAAATTTAAGGCCTTGGCAATTTAGCAAGACTCTCAGCAACTTAGAGAGACCCTGTCTCAAAGTTAAAAATAAAGGACTGGGGATGTAGCTCAGTGGTAGAGTGCCCCTAAATTCAATCCCTAGTACTACTACTACTACTAATAATTTTTTTATAACTTCTAATGTAGCACCATCAGTACCGTGTTCTTAGGGGACTTTGTTTTTCAGACTCCTAGAGTATTTAAACAGTCCCTTTGGACATTATACTGGGTTAACTGATCTAGCTGTTCTGCCAGAGTAACGTCAGGGACTTGTTTTTACTTATTAAGGATATTTCCAGTTGGCTTGAGTCTTTCTCACTCTTATAACTTGTCTGTCTATGAAATAGAATGCAGTTTTTCTATGATGAATTATTTTGTGAATCCAAATAAAAGCTTTCTTTTGGATATACCTACGATTGCAATAAATAATTCTAGTTTATTCAAAAAACTAAAGTAACTTTCCTTCAGAGAATAATATTTTCTCCTAGATTGCAATGAGTTACTTTGTGTGACACTTTTCAAATTAAAAACTCATCTTAATAGAGATAAATATATCTTATTATAACGTAGTTTTGAGAGAAGTATGAAGATAGTTTTGATATGGAACATAATGATAGTAGAGCATCTGACCTTGACTGACTTCTGCTACCTAAGGTAATAATACTCACTCCGTAAAGATGTGAAAACCTTGAGCTATCTTCAATTTCTGACAGTTTTGTAATGTTAATCAACTCATAAAGTTGTTATAGGGATTGAGTGAATTAATATACTTGAAGTACTTAGAATAGTACCCAGCACATAGTGACTTGTATTAAGTGTTCATTGAATAAAAAATAATTAAGCCTGAATATAGAGAAACTATTGTTCCAAAATTTCTGAATAGTTCAAGGAAAGATCTGAAATCCTATAATCTGTTTTTTTTTCTCAATTCATCCTTATTGAAGTAACTTCATTCCTGCACATATAAATGGTTGCTAATTTAAACAACCTCTTTCATTTTAAAGATTCGCCGGTTCTCAGTCCAGCTAATTCTGCAATCAATTTAAGTGGCGCTCAGGACCTGACCCGGAATAAGAATGTTGTGAAACCACTGGCTTTATCTTTGCAGGTTGTAGGGAAGACTTATGCTGCAGGTGATGTTTTCCTTACTTATATTTCTTTAGCAAATACATAGTCTCTAAAAGACTTGTGTGAAATTTAATTGACAAATTGATAGAAGAAAACAGAAGCTGCTTCCAACTGCCACTTAAAGACAGAAGTGAGGTTGTCTATAATAATGTAATATTTTACAAAGCTTTGTGTTCTCAGTGCTCCATCCAGAAGAGTCAGAATGACATTTGGCACACAGAAGAGATACTGCAATTTGATTCTGTTCAACAAACATTTCTTGGGCATCTAAGAACTGAGGATATGAAAACAAATAAGGCATAATGCCTTGCCACAAATGTCCTTGTAGCCTAGTAAGGGAAATGGGCCTATATAAGATATTTTCAATGTGCTGAAGCCTAGCATTTTAAGGACTAATCAAGAATGAGTTCTTGGAGGAACTTAGTGTTTCACAGCGAGAAGATATATACTGTACCAAGGAGTGGAAGGAAGACATTTCAAATTCAGGGAACAGCAGAAACAAAGATTAAAGGGAAAAGAGAATGAAAAGGGAAAAAAAATAGCATGATCATATGATATCTGCCAGCAGTTTGGACTTGTTAGAACCATAAAATATGCAACTTGTAAAGTGGCAAGCGGTTAGCTAGTGGTGTGCAAACAGAGTCCTTGGAGACCAGGCTAAGAAGCCTGGGCTTTATTCTATAACTTGAGGAGCAAAGGAACGACTTGAGCTGAATCATTTGGGCAGTAACATGTTAGAAGGCCTCAGGGAGTAGGAAAATTAGTTGAAGTTCATTTTAATAGTCAAAGTGAGAAATGATGAAGTCCTTGGCCAGGGTGATAATAGGTTGGAGAGACAAATTGGAGAGCTACTCAGGAAGTAAATTCAGCAGGTCTTGATTGATGAATGTGAGCATAAAGGAGAAAGGATCTCAGCTGACATCCACCTTTCTAGGCAAATGGTGTACCTGAGACAGAATGCAGATGGAGGAACAGGTTCTCCAAGAGGAGACTGTGTGAACATGTTGAGTTTCCTGGGACATCCAGTGGGGCTGTTCAACAGTCATTTAATCCACCAGAGAGGGAAATCACGACTGGTGGGATAGGGTAGAACCATCAACATGCAGTTAAAATCATCAGGATAAATAGCATCAGCCAAGGAGAGATGTAGTGTGAAGCGGGTTGTGAAATAAGGATGGAATCCCAGAAAGTCCAATGTTTAAAGAGAAGAAATGGTATAAGAAGAACGAGGAGACAAAACTTCACTTTTAGAAACTTTTCGACACTTAGGCATCATAAATTACATAGCCCACTCATGTTTCTAGTCCAGCCCAACAACTCTTACAGGACCTACTTTCTGATTTGATTACAGGCTTGAAACAAACCGAATTTAGGTTTTTCACTGCATTAAGAAAATCAACGAAAGTCATGGATTAGTAGTAATATCTTGGTTGCTAAAACCATTAGAGTAAAAAGTTGCTGATCAACTTTATAACACAAGATTTAGGCCGACAACTATGGAACCCACAGAGCACTCTTAATATTGCAAACAGAGGCCATTATGTGCTTCATAATGAAAGTATATAATAGTACTTATTTTGCCAAAGAACAACCCAAATTGAATATAACTTGATCAAGCCTCTACATCTAACAGTTAGTTTATTGGAAATACAGAGTACAAAGCAAAGTTCAGCCAATCAGCAAAATCCAGAAAATGGGAAATTCTACTAGGTTATCAGAAAGAAAAAAAATTAATTATAAGAAAGAAAAAAGAAGAAGAAGGGGGCTAGGGATATAGCACAGTTGGTAGAATGCTTGCCTTGCGTTCACAAGGCCCTGGGTTCAGTCCCCAGCACCACCACAAAAAAAAAAAAAAAAAAAAAAAAGAAAGAAGAAGGGGAATCCTATATATTAAAAGAGATTTAAGGGTCTTATCAAGTAAATTCAAATGTGTAGATCTTTTTTGAATCCCAGTTTGAATAAGCCAACTATAAAAGCTCTTTCAAGATAATTGGGATAAATTTGAATATTGATGAAATACTTGATGATATTAAGAAATTGTCCACCATTGTTAATTCTAAGCATAATAATATTATAGTTATGTTTTTAAAGAGTTTTTTTAGCAGCACATACAGAAGTACTTATGGAATGAAATTTTATGATAAATGGGTTGCTTCAAAATAATTCAGAGCATGTATGTGTGTATGTGCAGGGGAAGGAGGTAGAGTGTCTAAATGAAGCCAGGTGGGCAGTGTGTTGATACATGGTGAAGCTGGATGGTGGGTATGTAGAAGTTTACATACTATTCTCTCTCCTTTTGTATATGTTTGAAATTTTCTGTCATCCAAAATTAAAATAAAACAAATAACAGTTTTCCCTTCTTTCAACCCACCATCTCCAAAGACTTCATTGAGAAATGACCCTCAAAGATCTCTTTATGTCCTAGGAAATTATTTTTAGGTGACTTTTTTAAAATTAATTCTTTTAATTGACATGTGTGATGTTTAATGTTAATGGTGGTGTCCCTCTGATGGTTGTCACTGGTTTTATGCCACTGAGCTGAATCCTATCAGTGAGGTTTCCTTGAATCTTCACATCCTCAAGCAGGAAATCTATCAGATGTTTGCAGCTTCACATGTAGCAGTGTCTTGCCAGCCTCTATTCTAAAAGGAGCCTCTCCTGTTCTACAGATGCTGCAAATGGGAACAGTAGCCATGGAGGGAAGAGCAGTGCATCCAGCTCCACTCCAGCCCGCCCAGGGAACTACTCCTTGTCGCCAAGACCTAGCTACACATCTGCAGACCAAGGTACAACACCCATCTTAGGGTTTTGAAATGATGCAATTAATTATGGTAGAAATGCTACATGTTTTTGTTTTCCCTTTTTTCTTTCTTTCTTTCTGTACTGGGGATTGAACCCAGGTGTGCTTTACCCCTGAGCTACATCCTCACTCCTTTTTATTTTTTATTTTGAGACAGAGTCTCACTATGTTGCTGAGAGTCTAGCTAAGTTGCTGAGGGTCTTACAGAGTTGCTGAGACCTGGCCTCGAACTTGCATTCCTCCTGTCTCAGCCTACTGAGCTGCTGGGATTATAGGCACGTACCACCACACAGGGTGTAGGTTTTTTAATGATAAATTGTCTGACAGCACACTATTAGAGTTTTCGCTTTACTTATCATACAGTGTTTTGAAAGTTTACGATTGATGTTAACAGTAGTAATTAAATATCTTGGTGATTCTACACGGAAGAGTCTAACTGGAAAGTAAATGTTGAAACTGATGTAAAAGAAAGCATTTGAAAAAAACAAGTTTTTTTTTTTCTGACTAAAGTGTAGGCAAATCTGAGCCTGCCTTCCTCTGTCCACAAAATGATTGTAACAGTACTTGACCTAAAGTTCCACATGATTGTGAAATAATCTGCACAAGATAGTAAACTGTAAAACCACATACAAATGTTAGGTATTGTTAGTGTGATGTTGGTATGAATGTGGCTTTTTCTAATTTCATCTTTACATATAGCAGACTGACTTAGACCTTCTGAGTAAAGCAAAGTAAAGATGCTATGTCACTTTGGCACTCTTTCTTTCTTCCACATTGCTGAGGACAAGGCCTTTTCTTTTTGTCTTCAGCTACCATGTTCACTTCTGGACCACCAAAGAAACGACACCGGGGATGGTACCCTGGATCACCTGTCCCCCAACCTGGTTTAGTTACACCTGTTCCTACAATTCGTCCTCTTTCAAGACCTGGTAAGAATTTAACAGAAAATGGGTTTTAGTTTCTTTTTAATCAGCAGAGGTATCTTCTACTCCTGTTCTTTCCCTGAACTCTTAAAGATAAATTTCTTCAATCAATCATATTTCAATAATTTGTAAGGATCTTGATCGTAGCTAATATTTTGTCCTCATTATGTCTACCTTCCCTGCAAACACAGGTACCATCACTACTGATTTTAATTCAACTTCTGGTTTACTTTTAACCCATGGTTTTGATAAACCATTCATCACATAGGGCAAGTTGGTCAACACATACCATAGGGCACGGTCAGTAGTGGTGTTGGAGTTACCCTTCTGTGATCTGGCTCTCTTTATGACCTATGCTTGTTACTTCTGGCCTGGATGGTTCCATCCATAGCTAGAAAATGAAAAACCAACTGGCTCGCTCTCTTACTATCCAAACATTGGATATCCATGGCCATTTGTTATCTACAATTAAACATTCAAAAACATTTGTCAACCCTGTGGTACCAAGTAGGCCATTTTAGGTAGATTGATCCTAAAACAGAGGTGGGATCCTTTATAATTTTAAGTTCATTTAAATCAATAGTTTTAAAGACTGAATAGAGATATCTTATATATACAAAGAATTAGGCCACCATGTTCCTGTGGTTTGCCTCTCGGTAGTACTGACTAATGATGATTTATCCTTCTACCTTCCTTCCTTCTCTATTCTTTTCACAATTTACACAGTGGGCAAAAATATGACTTTAATAATTGGACGGGTGGGTAGATAAAAATCCAAAACATAATCCAAAAGATTGCATGTGGAACAAAACAATTGGAAGGAAAACTCCAAAATACTAAATGTAGTTATCGCCTGATCGTATGATCATGGTTGATTTTTTTTATCCTTCCCTTTGTTTTTCTTCTAATTTTATATAATATACATGAATTACTTTAATATTAAAAAACTAGTAAAACATTAGACTTCTAAAATTTCTATAGTAAAAGTATTTAAATTGCACTGTTTTCCTTTGTATTTCATTTAGTTTTTATGTCTAATCCTTCTTGTCAAACAACTTTTTTTTTCTCCAGAACCCCTTTTATCTGCCCCAGTTCCACAGACCCCATTAACTGGAATTTTACAACCTCGGCCCATTCCTGCAGGGGAAACGGTAATTGTTCCTGAAAACCTGCTGAGTAACTCAGGAGTGAGACCAGTAATTCTGATAGGTAAGGTGAAGGAATTCCAAGTTGCTTGTGTCCTCTGGAGTCTAGGAATGTCTCTCCATTTCATTGTTGATTTATTCATGCATTCATGAGTGTATTCATTGATCCCGCTATTGATTTTTTTCAGTTTTTATTGGTCAGCTTCTTCATGCTCTATGACACATGTGATTACAAGCCAAGAATAAGGCATAGCCTTCTTGCCCTCAAGGAGCAGTGTGTAGTGGGGGGAGTCTGACCCCTCACTAACCACTGGGGTCAGTAAACAGCCATTACAACACACTGGGATAACATTACAACACACTGGGATAAGTGAGCTGGCAGAGGTTCACAACCAAGAGCTGCAAGAGCTCAGAGGAGAGAGGGCTTGCTTCTCTCTGGAGGGGTCTGAGAAGACTACTCAGAAGTGGTGTCTAAGTTGGGTCCTGGAGGTTGCTAAGAATGGATAGGATGGGGAGAGGACAGTACCCTCAAAGGGAGCCAAACCACAGAGAAAGAAACCATACCTCATACAAGAGAACCAAGAAGCCCCACAACTATAAGTCTGAACCATAGGGAATCATCTATGAATCAGTGTCTTTTTTTTTGTACCAAGGATTGAACTCAGGGGCACTCAACCATGGTTTTGATAAACCATTCATCACATAGGGCAAGTTGGTCAACACATACCACAGGGCACAGTCAGTAGTGGTGTTGGAGTTACCTTTCTGTGATCTGGCTCTCTTTATGACCTAGGCTTGTTACTTCTGGCCTGGATGGTTCTCTATGGTGCTCTACTACTGAGCTACATCTGTATCCGTTCTTTATAAACTGTCTTTATAAAGTCTGAGCCCTTCAAGGATATCTGTAAGTGGAGGTATAGAAATGCAGAGGCTGGTCTGGGGTTGTAGCTCAGTGGTAGAGCACCTGCCTTGCACATGTGAGGCACTGGGTTCTATCCTCAGCACCACATAAAAATAAATAAATAAAGATATTGTGTCCATCTACAACTAAAAGAAAGTTAAAGGAAAGAAAGAAATGCAGGGGGTCCTTAGATTCCAGAACTAATTAAATGCCTTCCATACCCACATCCAAAGTCCCCCAGCTGGGGCAAGGTTAGCCAGGCCAGGAGTCTGTCTGCTTTACCTCCAGGATAAAACAGGTGAATGTGATTACACGAATTGTTATCTGTTCTTGTGGTTGGCCTGGGTCCACCAACTTGGTTTTGCTTCAAGCCCTGACTTTTATCAGGCTACCCTATCCACTAATCCTGGATCTGCAGGCATTGAGGGAATCCCAGTTGTTTAAATTCCACATGGGTCAGGAAGTTCCTATTGAATATTAGCATAGTGCAACTAAGCCTTGGAAAGATACGGAGAGTGTGGGGCCCCTTTGGTGCCTTTCTTTAGAAAGTCTCAGAGGAATTTTCCTTTCTGCCATATCACTAGAACAGGGCATATTTTCATTTTATCTACTTCTAAGATAACTTGAAGCTGTGTACTGACATTCAGGAAGAAAACCTAACCAAAATTGCTAAGATAGCAAAGGAATAAGAATTTCTAAGTACTTGCTGTTGGCAGACTATTGCTATTGATGAGCAAGTTTAGCTTACATTTCCCCCTCAAACCTCAGGAAGTGTAACATGTTATTGTAGCTTCTTTGTTTATTTGGTTTTTTTAAAATATTTATTTTTTAGATGTAAATGGACATAACACAATGCCTTTATTTTTATGTGGTGCTGAGGATCGAACCCAGGTCTTGCCCGTGTGAGGCGAGCGCTCTACCGCTGAGCCACAATCCCAGCCCCTGTTTATTTGTTTTCTCATCTGAAAAGAATATTGGTCAGGAACTTAATCAGAAAATATTTTGTCTCAATTTTACAAAGATATAGAGATGTTTTGCAAAATCATCAGTCTTCTAGGGCAGAAATATATTAACGTGTCCCTTCTGTGGGAAACAGATAATGCAATTTGTGTATTTTGCTTTGTGTTCATCTGATTTGATATAGAATTAGAATTTGGAGCATTCAAGTGCATTTCCTAGGATGGTTGTATTTGAGTGATTTGCTTGATAGCCGTCTCAGAGAACAGGGAATTTCATTAAGCATCTTTGCTCCTCATTGAGGTCCTGGTTGGACCCCAGAAACAAATACTGAACCTGCTTCTGTTGGGACAGGTTATGGCACTTTACCCTATTTCTATGGAAATGTTGGTGACATTGTTGTGAGTCCCCTGCTTGTGAATTGCTATAAGATTCCACAGTTGGAAAACAAAGATTTGGAACAATTAGGGTTGACTGGCAGCCAACTCCTGAGCGTGGAAAACATGATCCTTCTGACGATACAGTATCTTGTGCGGCTAGGTAAGTTATTTTTGATGATCATTTGTTAGTGACTGTATTTATACTTTTTTGTATTTTAGTGTTTCCTTGCTCACATTCACCCCCCCCCCCACTATCTCTTATTTTCCTTCTTTCACTTGTAACATTCTTCTCCTTCCACCCCACCCTCTATGACTTCCCCTTTCCTTTCATTGTTTGTCCTCTCCCTCCCTTTATTTCTTTGAGACTTAAAAGAAATGAATTGCTCCACCTAGTGTCCAATCTCATGATGCTCCAGAGAGCTCCAAAGTTCTGATGTAGGCAGAACCTTCTAGGGCTGTGCTATGGCTCACTTCTCCTGAGGAATCTGGCCAGGCCACCTTTCTGAAAGCACAGCTGCCATCTGAGATGCAAACTTAGCCATTGTCTTTGACAATTATTTTCCAGTTTTTCACGTAGCCTTTCTATGTTGCTTATGCACAGCCCCACATCCATTTTTTTTCCTCCTGCTACACCCCTTTGATGTAGTCCTATCATATTTTCCTTTTTGTAGGTGTACTAGGGATTGAACCTAAGAGCACTTTACCAGTGAGCTGCATCCCCATCCCTTTTTTGATTCTAGAGGGGGTATCTCTAAGTTCCTGAGGTCTTGCTAAGTTGCTGAGGGTCTCACTAAGTGGTTGAGGCAATCTTGCAATCTTTCTGCCTCATCCAGAGATTTCAAACCACTGATTTCCTTGGAAAAATGTTTGAAATGTAAAATTCCATGTGAAAAATTTCATGTGCACTTTCATGAACATTTTATGTTAAAAATACTCTGGTATTAAGATATAATAAAGTACTTGGATAAACAGTTTTCTAGGAAAATTTTAAGTGAGCCAGAATAGTTTTTTTTTTTAATTTAAACTTAGTACATTAAGATTTATTTTTCTCTCAACTAGCTGTTCTAGAATCCTTCAAAATAATTTTTTCTCCAGAGGTTTTGAGAAGGCAGCAAGAATAATTTCATATATGCCCCAGATTATACATACTTTTTATTTTCATATATATATATATTTTTTTTTTCTTCCTGCAGTGCTGGGAATGGAACCCAGGGCCTTGTGCATGCTAGGCAAGCATTCTACCACTGAGCTACAGCCCCAGCCTGCCATAGATTATAGACATTTTTAAAAATCCACACTTTGGAAAGGACAGTTTTTGATACTTTAGTAGCCCAATTTCTTAGAGGTAACAAAGAAAAGAAGCAAGATTCTTCAGAAGGAACAGGCCTTTCCACTACAGTCACTTTTAAGAAATGTTTCTGATATTTCACAATCTTGAAATCTTTTGAAGTAGATAATGAAATCAGCAAAACAGAGATTGTTGGAGGGCTCTGGGTCTGTTGGAACCTGGTATTTTCCTACTAGGGTTGTTCTGTCCAAAAAGCTGTGAGAACTGAAGCCCGGGCTACACTCACTAAATTCCTGGAGATGCCAGGACTTCAAGGAAAAACATTATAATTATCAAGTCTGCAAAAAGTGGAGAAAAGGCTGCTGCAGTCTACTGTAAAGGGCAAGGATGAAGTAGTGATGTTTGATGATTGGAAGCAAGGATTTCACTCTAAGGAGTCTCTTCCCTCATTTAAACTTGAATGAATTTTCCCTCATTCTCCAGTTCCTAATGATAATTCCATCAAAACTCCACAAAAGTGAATTTGAAGATAAAAAAATATGCTGGATAATTTTATTTTCCTACAATGCCTTTATATTTGAGATTAGTTATGCTTTCTAATAGAACATGCCACTCAATCCTGGTTTGGAAAGGGTCTTAGAGACACAAGTATGAACTGGGCTTCTGAGCCTTCAGGTTGTCAATGAGCAACATCAGGGAATTGTAGACAAGGCCACCTGCTTTTGAGCTGTTATATAGTCTAGTGGAAGGAAGTTTTAAATGGATTACCACCTTCCCTTCATTTGATATAATTAGACAGATCTAACCTCTGTGAGTCGACTGCTGTGTATGTACCTAGTGACCACTACTGTGATGCCAGTTTGATAAAGCTGAATGGAGATCAGAAGTCTTGTGAACCCCCCAGGTGTTTTTTTAAAATATTTTTTATTTGTAAATGGATCCTTATTTTATTTATTTATTTATTTATATGCAGTGCTGAGGATTGAAGCCAGGGCCTCACACATGCCAGGCAAGTGCTCTACCACTGAACTACAACTCCAGCCCTCCCGGGTGTTTTTTGGTTTTTGTTGTTGTTGATGTTGTTTGTTTGTTTCTCTCCCTATCAAGTATTTGGATAGGACATCAGAAACAAACTTAATGTGAGCATTACAATTTACTTGCTGTTTCTATGTATAGAAGAGAAACATCTACTCTCCTGTCTCTCCCTGGCTCCCAACCAATCTGGAGAAACTGTTTCTATTCTCTAATTTAAATTATGTACTTACTTTTTCTTTTTAAACTTTTTTTTTTTTGATGGTGGTACTGGTGAATGAGCCCAGGGTCTCACACATGATAGGCACGTGCTTTACCACTGAACTACATCCTCAGCCCCTTTTATTTTTTTTAATTTTGAGACAGGGTCTCACTAAAGTTGTGGAGGCTGTCTTCAAATTTGCTATCCTCCTGTCTCAGCCTCCCAAGTAGCTGGAATTACAGGCATGTACCATGGCACCTGGTTTAAATTATTTATTTTTTAAATGTATAATATTTAATTTAACTTCACTTATCTTTAAAAAAAACATTGCTAAACCCTTCATTTTCTTATTTTCCCAGAAAAGATGGGCAGGGCCAAGAGGGCACTTAATCGTCATTATAGGAAAAAATGATTTCTGAGGGTTTCCTTCTTCCAAAACAGAAGTCTAGGCTCTTATCTCTATATTCTTTCCTAGGGGAATTTTAGCCCCAGGTTCTGAAGTTAATGCTTGGTCTCATATCACAGACACTTAGGAGTCTGTCTGCTTACAGGAGCCCATTTACAAATCTCAGATTCACACAACAAAAGAAATGACAGAATACCAGGAGTGAATATACTGTCACTGGTTTTAATTTAAAGTAAATGTAGAAATCTTAGTTTATTTGTGTCTCTTGGAAGTCAAATGTTGAATTGCTTATTTTGTTCTAAAGATTGATTGAGTTTCTAAAGAGAATAAGTAACAAAATCCCCTGAATTCCAGGGTCTACCAGTCTGCAGTATAAGCTTTGTTTTTTCTAAGGCTGTGGAAGAGGCCAAATACCACATTTAACAATCCAGAATGCAGAAGAATAACTAGATGATGAAAGCATTCCCTATCTGGGGAAAGTGTGAGACTGTTTAACATATAATTTTGGAATGAAAAATAATGAATTTTCCTGTGGATAGTATTGTCAAAATTAAATAGAGAGGTAATACATGAAAATATTTTTCTCAAAGTGCCTGGGAATAGAATGAGAAATTTATGGAGCCTAACTTTGATTATAAACAAGCAGATTGGCGTCTTGTTTTATTGGTCATTAACAATTTCCACAAAGCCAAGGTTAATATGTTTCAAAAATATGTTATCTGCAATGCCCATCTCCCTGGGCATACAATAGAATTAATTCTCTCTCCTTGTATATTCTCTTTTGAAGATCAGACATAGAATAAAGGAGAATAGAAATCTGACATAGAATAAAGGAGAACAGATATTTGATTTTTTAAAAAAAATTGAGGCCATCAGAGGAAGAAATTTCACATGGGAAATAGTAGGGGCTCTATATGTGGTTCCACTGTAGGAAGAGGTGTTTACTTGCCAAGTACAGTAGGCTTAGGAGAACTGCAGAATGGTGGATGGGTGGGTGTTTCTCTCTCCTACCTGTGATTTTTATAATTCTAGCTGTAATTCTCTTCACTATAGGTCCTGATCAGATACCTCTCAGGGAAGAATTTGAGCAAATAATGCTCAAAGCTATGCAGGAGTTTACTCTGAGAGAGCGAGCTCTGCAGATGGGCGCCCCATGTATACCTGTGTCTCCAGGACAACTCCCCTGGCTTGCTAGATTAATTGCCAGCGTGTCTCAAGATCTGGTTCATGTGATTGTGACCCAAAACTCTTTGGCGGAGGGCATTTCAGAGACACTGAGGATTCTCAGTGAAATGAGACACTACCAGAAGCTACCAGATTATGTTGTGGCAATTTGTACATCGAAAATCAGAGGAAATGAATTTTGTGTAGTGGTGTTAGGTGAGTCATGTTTTGTCTGTTTGTTTAATGCATCATTTAATCATCCATCCATTTGAAAAATAGTCATTGGGTATTTCAGGTATCGACGTGATCAGCTGCTGGTTGATTGCTTCCACTTGGATTTTTCCTACTAATTTTAACTTTTCCTTTTTTCCTCAGAGCAAGTGTTGTCGCCCTCAACTTGGCCAGTGCCCCTGTCAGCTGCTCCTGTGGGAGCCTTCTGTCAAAGCTCACCCTAGTAACAGATACCGTTGTCTCATGTAACTTCTGCCTTAAAAGGTTTTAGAAATGTTACCACCCTAGCATGTGATAAAGCCAGTGCCACAGGTGGTCAATGCCAGTTAGTTAAATTTGCCAGAAACTTAGCTCATGCATTCCCTTCTTCCCTGAATAGTCTATTTTGTAACATCAACTCGAAAGATGTTCAGAAAGTTAGTACATTACAAAATGTACAGTCTTTTTCCCCCCTGCCCCTCTGTGCTGATTTTTAAATCAGGCACCACCCTGTGTAGCCATTTGGACTAAACTGTGCTTCTCACCTTTCTGTACTGAATGGCACTCATCTCTTCCGATCACAGTGGCTAAGAACCCTCACTTTGGCAAAACCTGTCAGCCTGCCTATCTTCTGTGTTATATGTATTTTTTTGAAAGCTTCACCGGGCAGCGTGATATATTCATTTTTTTTTTCATTTTCATTTGCAAGAATAATGGAAGTTTATATTTTAAGACAAATGTTTATTACAACTATGCAAACACACAGTTTTATAAGGTTTCTCCATATTCTTCCCTAGTCTTTAAATGCATGTATATGTACATTTTCACAGTGATAAACATAAAGTACATCATTTTATCCCAACAGCACTTATTATCATATTATAAACATTTCTGAGGCTATCTGTAGTCCTCGGAGTGACATTTCAAATGCTGCTTAATTGTCCACATCTTTTTACATACCATGATTTTCTTATCCCAAGTCTCTATAGCTAAAGCTTTAGTTGTTTCCCATTGCGGCTATTTTAAGTAATGTTCCAGTGATCATTTGTCCCATTGATGAGTCATCTCTTGTCCTCTTTTCTTCAGGTCAGCATCAGTCCCGGGCTCTGGCAGAGAGCATGCTCACCACAAGTGAGTTTTTGAAAGAAATTAGTTATGAGCTCATCACAGGAAAGGTCAGTTTCCTGGCATCACATTTCAAAACCACGTCATTAGGTGAGTGGTGGTAAGATTCAGCAGTGCTGCCAGCCGCTTGCTGTGTGATTGAATTTAAATCTTAGCCTGTCAAGATGAGGATGGAGCTTAAGCTTGCCAGCTGATCTTTCATTTGGAATGGTTTATCCTCAGTATTTTGTGACTAACACCACAGGAAGCAGCATGGGGTCCAGAGAAAGGACAGTCAGTACTAAAATCAAAGCCTCAGCTCAGCCATGACTTTGTTGAGTGACCTTGGGCAAGTCTCTCTCTCCCTGGATCTCAAGTTTTCTGATATGTCATGTGGAGACAGAATAATTCCATTCTTCCTGCTTTTGAATATTATGGACGTCAAGAGAGATACAACCTATTCAGAAAGCATGTCAGTTGTAAGCAGGACACCCACAAGGTAAATACCAAGGAGGGCAGCTCTTGCTGTAGAGACTCCATGGAGAGATGGCCAAGTATGAACTCTGACACAAATTGCTGGCTGACCCACAAATCTTAATGACCCAATTTGGGAGACAGATAAAAACCATACAAGCCTTTCACTTCTTGTAACCTTCTTATCTCCACTTTATTTTGACATAGGTGATGACCTGGACAAGCTGCTAGAAAAAATGCAACAAAGAAGAGGAGACAGTGTGGTCACCCCTTTCAATGGGGATCTTAATGAATGTGTGTCGCCTCAGGAGGCTGCTGCTATGATTCCCACACAAAATCTGGGTAATGTCACTTCAGGCTGAGGAGGGAGTCAGTCCTTGGGACAGACATTACTGAAGCTCAGTCACTCAGGGTTTTGAGGCATTCTCAACTCTCATCAACCATGAAAGGGCTTTTTCCTCATTGTCTACATGGTAAATCAGGTTCAAATTAAAAATGCCTTGCCCTGGCGTGGCCTGGATCAAAGGCCTTGTTCTTAGTAAAACTTTCTTAAAATTAAAACCAAATACTTTATCCCCAAATGGTCTCTTTTTCCTTGGAAGATTCACCGGATCCTCAGTGTTTTTACCAGCTGTGCCCAGGGAGTCGTTGTACTTGCTGAGGGCTTCAAAGAACGGCTTGAAAGAAACTAGACTGCAGGTTGTGCAGGGCCCCTGGCTCCTGCTCCTTCACTTCTCCTCTAACTTGTAAAACCCACATTATCTCAGAGAGAGGGAGGCCTTCCTGGAAGGCAGCAGCAATACCAGCACCGTCAGCTGCCTTGCCAGTGGGGCCCAAGGGGGGACTGAGAGTCTGGGACAAGGCCGTGGGTCATTAGATTGAATTCCTTCCCCCAATTCACTGATTGACAGGGACAACATAGAAAAAGACAGGAAAAAGAACTAGAGGAAGAATGAAAGGAAACAGACCCTCATCAGATGCTGTTGACAGGGAGTTGGCCTCCCCTGGGTTTCTATGTGAGGACTGCCTCAGGCAGTAAAAGCAGCCTGGCTTGGCATCAGCTCAGGCCAAAAGACAAGTACAAATACAGACCATAAAGTGTTTTTGAGTCCTGGATGGTATTTGGTAAGAAAGCAGCTATCCAGATGATCCAAAATGTGTTTACATGAACTGTTTTGAATGGTTAACAAAAAGTTAACAAGTTTAGAATTTAAAAATTCTCAGGTTGTTTACAGACCCCCAGGTGCATATCCTCAGTTCCCCGTTTAGGAAATGTTGTTTCACAGTAATTAAGCAAACTGCAAACTTTGCTAATTCTATAAATTTGTGTGTATGTTAGTTCCTGCCCATCCAACGTGGGAAATGAACAAAGGAAGTTTTAGTCTGACCACATTGAAGGACAGGCCTGTAGACCTGTTTTGACTGGTAGTCTTTGTGGGTAAAAAAAAATTTTTTTTTTTTTTTTGGTGCTGGGGATTGAACCCAGGGCCTTGTGCATGGTAGGCAATGTATTATAATGGAGCTACATCCACAACCCTACTATTAAAATTTGCAGCTTTGAACTTTGCCAATGGGTTCTTTCTGTATCAATCTTCACTTGCAATTGTAGGTAGGGTATTGTGACTACTGTCTGCCTCAGCTACATTGCAATTTGCTATTAGAAAACATTAATGAGCACAAGTTAATTAGGGCCTTATGATTGTGTTCCAAGAGCCTACCTACATGTGTTCCTGAGAAAAAGCAGCCTTTAAACAAAACTTGGCAACTAGTTGTGGTGGCGCACGCCTGTAATCCCAGTGACTTGGGAGGCTGAGGTAGAATTGCAAATTCAAGGCCAGCCTCAGCAACTTATGGAGATTCTCTCTCAAGATTAAAAATTAAAGAAAAAAAAAGGGGGATCCTAGGGATGTGGCTTAGTGGTAAAGCACCCTAGGTTCAATCCCCAGTACAAAAAAAAGCTGATGAAGCTTGTTCCTTTCAGAATGTGTGTGTATGTGCACGCTCGCATGTGTGCATATGAGAGATTACTTGCTTGATTATAATTGGCAAAAAAAAGCTACTGACATGCATAGAGTATCTGGACAATGTTTTGTAATATATCACCTGTTTAGAGGCCAGCTGGCTGTCATGTGTCAGGTCTCTTCAGATAGTACTGGTGTCAGTGCTGGCGTTGACTACACCACCTAGGTCTGCCAGGTCACAAGAACTGGCAAAGTTAAGTCTAGTGGGAAGAAAGGTCAGGGTCATGTCTGCATGACCGAAGTTGTCTGGTCACCAGGAGGGGAATTTCAGAATGTGTTGCAACTGACTTGCTAAAGAGGTAATGTTTACCGTGGTGCCATTCAGAAAAGCACAAAGGAACTCAGCATTATCATAGTTACAGCATCACCTCCTTCCCTGAGCTGGGCTTGGGTACTGGCCTGTGCTCAGATTCCTAAAAACACTGGAAACTCTCTCCTTTCTCCAGATGAATCCTGGCTCCAGCTGGGACAGTGCAGTCTGTCTCCACCATCTCTGAGCCAGGGGAAAGGATACTGAAGTAGGCATTTGCAAGACAGTGCATCAATTTTAAAATAATACATTTGTAAAACTCCTACATCCAACTCCTGAGCACACCTCTCAGCCAGCTTTTCAGGGAGAAAATAGGCAAATCTGTTAAAACTCATAGTGAATGAGAAAAGCAAGTGAGAATTCTTGGCAATAGAACATGTGTGTTATGTCCCCTTATGGCTCATAGTGGCTATCACAGAAGTAAATTAATCTTATTCTTATAACTTTTTTTTAATTTTAGATTTAGATAATGAAACCTTCCAAATTTATCAACCACAGCTTACGGTTGCCAGAAAACTCTTATCCCAGGTGTGTGCTATTGCAGACAGTGGCAGCCAGAGCCTGGACCTCGGCCACTTCAGCAAAGTAGACTTCATCATCATCGTCCCAAGATCAGAGGTTCTGGTCCAGCAAACTCTTCAACGGGTTCGACAATCAGGTAAGAGTGAACTCTCGGAGAGGATTCTTTCTAGGTCCAGCCTGGGATTTCCTTTGACCTCTGTCTTTTGTTTAATCCAGTTGTTTAGAGGACACTTACAATGTTTTTCAGTAATAAAAACCATAAAAGCTCATTAAGTGTTACTTTGAGTTTATCTCCAACTTTTCCCTCAAAGTACTCTGACCTTTTTCCTGTTTCCTTTCATGGTCAAGGGTAAATTGATGGGCATGTTTCCCAGATACTGTTAAATCTATGATGTAATCAGTGGGACTGGAAATCTGGTCATTCATTTATGAAGAGAAATTTATGAAGGCAAGGACAGCCCTGTGGGGATGGTGGGGTTGGTGCCATCTGAGCTCCTTCTCTGCCCCCACATGTCAGGTTCTCATAGGCAGATTCATGGACATTTTACATATCGCTAGCACATTTTCAGCATAGAAACCAGAGCACCTTCCTCTGTGTATCAAAGAGAAGTCTCATTATTAAAAGTACAAAGTTAGGAGCTGGGGTTGTGGCTCAGCAGTAGAGTGCTTGCCTAACTCGTGTGAGGCCCTGGGTTTGATCCTCGGCACCACATATAAATAAATAAAATAAAGGTATTGTGTCCACCTACAACTAAAAAAAAAAAAATTAAAGTACAAAGTAGGAAGCAAAAGTTTTACAAGATTGTGGCAAGAAATATCCCTTTTAAAAATAAAATTTGCTTAGAGTTGCAGGAAAACCATAGGAGTTGAGAAAATTTGGATAGCTGAAAAATGCTAGCCTGTGTAAATTAGGTGTGAAAAGGAAATTATGAATGTCAAGTTGCTTCTGATTACCCTAACCGGAGACACACACACACACACACACACACACACACACACACAGATTTTAGCTGGAGGATGAATCTTTTGTCCACATTAAAGAATTTTTTTATTTTCAATATATTTGAAAATAGGATGCAGAAAAATTCAGAAGTGCTTAAAATTTGGCTTGTATGTTGCACACCTATTATAATGTATCTCTCAGACTTTATCTTATATACAAATCACAACAGGGGATCTTGTTAAAATGGAAATTCTCCTTCAGTGTATTTGGGGGAAGGTCCAGATTCTACATTTCTAACAAGGTCCCAAGGGGTGCCAGTGCTGCTGGTCAGAGGACCACACTTTGAGTAGTGTGGCTATATAAGAAATCTTCCCTTGTTAGTTCTAGAGGCTCAAGAAGCTGAAAATAGGTTTTCCCCCTCTCTTGAACCTTTCTTGGTGGTCATGACTGACACATGGAGAGTCTTGCCAACAACTTCTGGAAGTCCAGAAGCAATCTTTCTTTTAGTGTCTAAATTTCTGAATGCCAAGTTACAAAATGACCGAAGGTGATTAAGCAAGAGAAGGTCAAATGCCTTCTCCTCTCCAGAAACAAGAGTGGATGCTACGCTTTCTCAGCTACTGGCCATTTTTGCATTTTCTTTATGCCAACATCCTCCATTGTGGGAAATGAATGGGCTTCCATGACACCAACCAGCAGCCAGACCTTTCATTTCTTCTGGGGTTTCTGCTTCCATACATGGAGGCAGTGCCTTCTCTTTCAGCTGTTTTACTCACACCCATTGGCATTCACTGCCTTCCTGTTTGTGATCTGATATCCCAAGTCATATCTGAACAAACACATCATAGCACCTGTTCAGAGTGACAAAATCAACTGCAGAGCTTTTTCCTGAAATAACCTCTAGGTGACCTGCACTTTCACCTTTCCTAATAAATGCAAGTCCCTAAATAAAGCCTTTTATTTCTGATAGATGGAACAGTTGTGTAGGTCTTTCCTTTTCCCTTCTCAGTGCTCTCAGATTTTTCTAAAATAGGCATATTCAGATTGTTACCCCAACCATACCCGAGTCCCTACCCCACACTTTGGTGAGCAAAATAAAATTACTGTTTTTTGGGGGGAAAAAAGATGTTATCCTTTAGAAAGTTACCAGAATCTAACCACTTACATAAGCTGGGACTCTGAAGTTTCAGGCAAAACGTATTTTAAAAATTATTCACATCTAACTTTGGCATACATGCTAAAATTTTTGCACAAAAATAGTCATTTGTATTTATCTGTAAAATTACTTTATTCATTTTATTATAGAAAAATAATTATGGTTTTATTTTGAAAAATAAAGGAAATAACAGAAAAATTTAAACACTTGTGGGTGAGGGTAGAGCTCAGTGATGGAGTATGTGACTAAAACTCTCAAGACCTGAGTTCAATCCCCAACAGGGAAAAAAAAATAAGCATTTGTAATTCTACCATTCAAGGATAACCACTGCAAATATTTTATTGTTAACAAATGACTTAATACGTCATTTGATGCCTGTCTTCCCTGCATGTATCTTTTTGTGACATCATAGTGTACATATTTTTCCATGACATGAAAAGCTTTTGTAAGCAACATTCTTAAAAAAATACATAGTGTTTCATGTTTTAACTGCACCAAAATTTATTTGTATTGATAATTAAATACCTTCTTGGAACATTTACCAATTGACAGAAGAGAAAGACCCAAACACATGTTAAGATTTGCAGGTAAATGGGTGGAGACAGAGAAGATAATGCTAAGTGAAGTTAGCCAATCCCAAAAAACAAATGCCAAATGTTTTCTTTGATATAAGGAGACTAATTCATAGTGGGATAGGGAGGGGGAGCATGGGAGAAATAGGTGAACTCTAGATAGGGCAGAGGGGTTGGAGGGGAAGGGAGGGGGCATGGGGTTATTAATGATGGTGGAATGTGATGATCATTACTATCCAAAGTACAGGTATGAAGACATGAATTGGTGTGAATATACTTTGTATACAACCAGAGATATGAAAAATTCTGCTCTATATGTGTAATAAGAATTATAATGCATTCCACTGTCATATATTTAAAAAAAAGATGTAAAGAGAAATTGTTCATTAAAACATTTCTTAACTATCAAGCTCTTGAAACAGAAAGACTTCCCAATAAATCAACTGACTCGGTTTCAATTTTATCATGTCAACTGAGGAGAGCTTAGTTGGTCTGAGGTCACAGAGGGCAGTCCCTTGTGAGTAAGGACCATTTTTTTCATTGTTGGATGCCTCGTGCCTGAGTTAGGGTCTGTCTTGGGCCTGACACCATCAGGTGCTCTGCTGATGTTTGAATGGAAGTCTAGGGGGAAGAAAGGAATGGGCAGAGGGAAAAGTGATGTCCATGGTCTCTTCTTTCTGGTTCCTTTTGCCTCCTTCCCTAAAGAAGGCAGCCAGCCTGCTGGGAAAAGCACGAGGCAGGGAAGAGCTGCCAGGTCATGTAGAAAGGGCACATCCTTGGCAGCCCGTGTGTGGCTCAAACTAAAAAGATGAAAATAGAAACCATCGCATTGTTGCAGACCCAGCACTAAAGTGAAACATTTGATACCTCAACTCGCATTCTAATTAAGAAAGGAAGGAGAGAAGGGAGGGAGCATGGGAAGGGAAAAGAAAATGTTATGGAAGGAATTCCAAGGTGAAAAGAGAAAGGCAACAGGATAAACATTTTTAAGCTTGCTCAAAGTAGGCTTGTATCTGCTGGGGTGAGCAATGGAGAAGGATTATTTAATACAGACTGCAGGAAATGCTTTTGTTTCAGGGTCTTTTTTTAAAAATCTGCATTTATAGCATAATTCTTCTCATTCAGGGAGACTCCACATCCCATAGAACTCTAGGATACTGATGCAATCAAAATGTAAGCCATTTTCTGTTCACGATGGGGAGAGGAATACAGGAAATATTAGTGACTGTATTCTAGTCCTCCCTGCTTTCAAATGGTGCAGGTGGGAGCATTCAGCAAATGGGAGCAGGTCTGGCAGTATCCAGCTGGGGGCTGGGTGGAAGGGTGTCGTTTATCGTGCTCAGGGAAATATGAATGAATTTGGTGCTTCAACACGTACATGAATATAAAAGAGCCAGAGAGATATGTTTTGTCTGCTGACATACAGGTAGATTACTCTGTCCAAATGGACATAAGAGAGTTTTAAGAAGTGGCAGTGATTAGGAGGGGAAGTGAAGAGGCAGAGGAAGGCATTCTTACTTTCTAAAATATATTTTCTTGTTCTCGTCAATCTTATATTCTTTTGTTGATCACCTAAAATTTCATCAGAAAAAAAAGAATATTTATTGGGCAGTGATAAAGACAGCAGGGAACAAGATTCAGAGAGGGAAAAGTCTCAGGATGCCAGGATAGAAGAGAAACACCAGAGGTTTCTCCGTACAAACATAACTGAACATATCTGCTTGTTTACGGGTGGACCACCTGGCAGTTTCCTAGTGCTCGGGACCTGCAGTTCCTCATAGTCAAACACCGTTCCCCCTCGACGTGTGCTAGACCCTGCTGGATGCTGAAGTCATCTGTTCCTATGTTCCCAGTTCCAGACCACAGATTCCTTTGCCATGTACTCAAGGTGTTGGGCTCTTTGCAGGGGAAGGAGGGATTCAACCTTTCCAATTGTTGCCGCAATTAATTCTTTTTTGGCTCTTTCATTGGATCTCTCTCCCATTCTCCACCCTAGCTATAGCAGGCCCCCATTTCACCCACTCAGACCTCTCACCTCAACCTCTCTCTTCATAAATGCCAATGTTTCCTCTTTCCCCTTCCCCTACCCAAAGAAAAGAACCCCAGAAACTTCAGGTAATCATGTCTTGCCTTCAAATCTAGAAACCTGTTTACACACCTCTCTCTTTCCCTTTCCTCCCGATCAATGGGAGGGCTGCCCTCCTCTCTTTAAGCCTGGCTCTCATACCTCACGCTACATACTGCTGTCTCCTGTTCTCAGGGACCTTGAGCTATTGATTATCTCTTCTCCCAGTGCCATCTTCAAATGCCATCTTCAAATTCTCTCAAGGACTCATTCCATCAGTTTAAAACTGCTCACTCTCAAAGACAAAACAAGCCTTTGTTGATTCTCCTGAACCTTCCAACTCCCTCCTCTAGCCACCTGTCAGACTGGAAGAGTTGTGCAGGGTCACCTCTACGTCCTC